GAAACAAGATTGTTTTACTTGTCAATCCCAGTTCCCTCTCCCTCCCGTCTTCCCCTACCACCCTCCCCAAGTAAAACCCTACCTATCACATATACTTTCTGCTCCCCCTGGAGAGTGAGGCCTTCCGTAGGATGTCATCAGTCTGTCATATCCTTTGGGATAGGGCCTAGGGTCACCCCCCGCCCCATGTGTCTTGGCTCAGGGAATATCGCTCTATGTGGAATGGGCTCCCAAAGTCCACACCTAGGCTAGGGATAAGTACTGAACTATTGCAGGAGGTCCTGTAGATTTCCGAGGTCTCCTCACTGAAACCCATGTTCCTGGGGTCTGGATCAGTCCCATGCTGATATCCCAGCTACCAGTCTGGGGAGCAAGAGTTCCCTGGTCAGCTGTTTCTGTGGGTTTCACCAGCCTGGTCTGGACCCCTTGGCTCATCACTCGTCTTTCTCTGCAACTGGATTCCAGTTCAGTTCAGTCTGAAGATATTTTCTTTTTCGTTTGGTTGGGATCCCCCCCTACTACCCTGCCAAGACTGGTCTTTCTACTTAGTCCTGGATGTCCTGGAGCTAGCAGATGTAGACCAGGCAGCCCTTGAACTCACAGAGATCCGCCTGCTTCTGCTTCCCAAGTGCTGGGATTAAAGGTGTGCACCACCACACCGACTTATTTATTTTTGAGGAGAAACAGACCTGAAACTATGTAGACAGGCTGGCCTCAAAACTCACAGGTATGATGTTCCCACCTCTGTCCCTCAGTACCTAAGAGGACAGGCCTATACCACTAGGACTAGACCAGGTATTCTTTCCTTTTATTTTAACCAGTTTTTCTGGTAGGAATTTACATTTTCATTTACATACTCAGAAGGCAAGGATCTTGCTCATTTAGTTTGGGTGGACAGGGTGAGGGAAGGGGACAGGTAAGGACCAGAAGACAAGTTTACTTTCTGTGTCAAATATTTGATTTTTATTTTTTTTAATTTTACATGCATTGGTATTTTGCCTGTTTGTATGTTGAAGGTGTCAGATCCCTGGAACTGTAGTTACAGACAGATGTATGCTGCCATGTGGGTGCTGGGAATTGAACTTGAATCCTCTGTAAGAGCAGCCAGGGCTCTTAAGAGCGGAGCCATCTTTCTAGTCCCAATTTTTAACTTTTAAAAATAATTTAATGGCCAGGCATTGGTGGTGCACACCTTTAATCCCAGCACTCGGGAGGCAGAGGCAGGCAGATCTCTGAGAGTTCGAGACCAGCCTGGTCTACAAGAGCAAGTTCCAGGATAGGCTCCAAAGCCACAGAGAAACCCTGTCTCGAAAAGAAAAAAAAAAAATCTCCAAGGCACAACTTAGTGGGATACAAAGAGGCAGATTCCCAATCAGAAAGGCTAAGTATAAACCCCCAGGCCTGGTAGTTACTAGTTTTGTGACCCTGGGCAAGTCATTTCCTCTTCCTTTTTCTCATCTGAATATAGAAATAAAAGCTCCACACTCCAAAGGTTATTGTCATGACTCAAAATACAAACATTTATTCAACATTTATTGAGAACTGCCCTGTAGAAAACAGAAAAAGCCAAATAAAATAAGAGCAGTCTCAACTCTGAACAAGCTCACAGTTTGGAAACAGAAATACAAAACAACACAGCCAGGAAATGCCTTAAAACAGAAAAAAAAAAAAAAAAACCTAGAAAGGATGTAGTGTTCAAAACTGTGGATTCAGGCAGGGCGGGGGACACGAGCCTTCATGTGGAGACAAGCTGGGGTGACCATCCAAGGGGGTTCTTGCGGCCCACAGCCACACACCCCCATTCTCCAGCTCACTGCAGGCTGGCCCACTGCAGGGAGGTGTAGACCACCTTCCCATCAGGCTGGGGGGAGCAGAGAAGCAGGGTCTTTCTGACACTGGTTCCCAGGCGGCCGGCAGAGACCAGGTCCTGAAGGGGGATGGGGTCGTCGGCGGCCCAGCACTGAGCGATGTAGTGGGCGTGAAAACGCAGCGGGTCACCTGGGGAGGGGAAGAGACGGGTGCATTGCGATTCCCACCTGCAGAGCTGGAGCACTGACAACGGAGCCTCCTGCTTACTGCATGTTTGGGCTTCCTTTGCAGTGCTAGGTGTGGAAGCCAGGGCCCTGTGCGGATTAGGTAAATACTCTACCGCTTTCTGTTTGTTTGTCTGAAGTATATGAGTGCTTGCTTGCCTGCCTGCATGTGTGTGCTTGGTGCCTGCACAGACCACCCACAGTGCTGGGGTTACAGGTGGTTGTGAGTCACTTTGTTGAGTGCTGTGTCCTCTGCAACAGCGCCATTGAGCCATCTCTCTAGCGCCCTCTGTACTTTTGGGGACAAGGTTTACATTGTCCATGCTAGTCTTGAACTTGCCCTGTGGACCACACACACCCTAACGAGCTCTGGTTGTTCTGGAACTCACTATATAGACCAAGTTAGCCTCCAACCAACAGAAATCTGCCTGCCTCTTTTTCCTGAGTGTGGGAATAAAAAGTGGTATGCATCCCCACACCTGGCACAGCCACTCTACTCTGAAGGATCCTCCCCCTTCCCTCTCTCTTTTTGTTTTTTTCGAGACAGGGTTTCTCTGTGCAGCTTTGTAGACCAGGTGGAACTCACAGAGATCCACCTGCCTCTGCCTCCTGAGTGCTGGGATTAAAGGCGTGCGCCACCAACGCCCAGGATCTTTTTATCTGCCCTCTTTTTAAGTTTTTTTCAGACACCTGTTTTATGTGGCCCAGGATAGTTCTGATGGCCCCAAATGGCTTCACAATTGCCAGTAGCAAAATAGAAAGCACAGAATGGGGGATGAGGGGTGGAGGGATGGGGGGATGGGGGCTGGAGAGATGGCTCAGTGGTCAGAAGCACTGGCTGCTGTTCCAGAGGTCCCGGATTCAGATTCAATTCCCAGCACCCACATGGCAGCTCACAACTGTCTGTAGCTCCAGTTTCAGGGGACCCAAGACCTTCACACCAATGCACATACCATAAAGTTAAATAAATTAAAAAGAGAAAGCAAAGAATGGTTACCTCCGTGGTACAATATACATCTGTAAGACTAAACAATATGGACTAGAGAGATGGCTCAGAGGTTAAGAGCACTGACTGCTCTTCCAGAGGTCCTGAGTTCAATTCCCAGCAACCACACGGTGGCTCACAACCATCCGTTATGAGATCTGGTGCCCTCTTCTGGTGTGCAGATATACATGGAAGCAGAATGTTGTATACATTATAAATAAATAAAATCTTAAAAAAAAAAGACTAAACAATATACAACTATCAGGATTAAAAGTTATGGTGAGGCAGTCTTGTAACCTCAAGCACTTAGGAGGCTTAGGCTGGGGGGGGGGCTGCTCCTTGGGCTTAGGAATTCAAGGACAAGCTGGGCACCATACAGGCATTTTACCATACAGAAAGAAAGCCAAGATTAAAAGATAAGCCACAAGCACTGGTATGTAGCTCATTAATAGACCACTTACAAATCCGTAGCACCAAAGCTACATACAAAACAAAAACAGAACCCATCTGAGACTTTAGTAGGCTAAAGAAGATTTTATAATAGGATAGAGCAAAAAAAAATTAAAAGTCCCATGCTAATCCCAGCACTCCGGAAGGCAGAGGCAGTTAGTTAGACCTCTCTTTCAGTTCCAGGACAGCCCGGTCTACACAGAGCAAGTTCCAGGACAGCAAGGCTACACAGTAAAACCCTGTCTAGGAAAAAGAAAGAAAAAATAAATACAACTAAACTGTCAATAGGATCCACTCTCCCCATTCCACCCCCGCAAAAAAAGAGCCAGTCGGTAAACATGGTTAGTTTTGTGGGCCTTGTTGCAAATACTTGGCTGTGCCAGCATGGCACAGCAGTCACATGTTATCTAAGCACAGGCCCTCTGATGGCTTTAGTTTCTGAACAGCTGACAGTCTGTCCCTGGAGTAGGTGGATCTAAATTAGAAGGACAGGAATCTGAATAAGACTGTACAAGGGGGATGGATCACAGGCAAGGGAAATTTAAAATGGAGAGCTGGAGAGATGGCTCAGTGACTAAGAACGCCTAGCATTCTTCCAGAGGACCCCGAGCTCAGCTTCTAGCAACCGCATTAAACTGGCAATGGCCTGTTAACTCCAGCTCCAGGAAAATCCAATGCCATCTTCCAGTTTCCCAGTGTAGCCACCCACATGCACACATACTAATGCAAATAAAAAAAAATCTTTAAGAGGGGGGAGGGGTGGGCATCTAAACCATGAGACTGTGTAGCATTCTAGGGGACTGTTGCTATGCCCCTGCCTGGCAGCTGGGTTCCTGGCAAGAGCCTCACCAGAAGCAAGAGCCTCTGGCTGTTAAAAAGGCTGCAGCCAGCTAAGAGGGCACATCAAAATGCTTGAGAAACTAATCCTGTAACTGTTTTCCTGGAGGCTTAGCAACTTTGAGCCTCGGGCAAAATTTAAAAATAAACTTAGAAGCGTTACAGTGATGGAGGCCTTGGACACCATTTCACAGGAGACCAGGATTCTCTCAGGATTGTCCCATACACCGAGTACTCACTGTTTTAGAAATATTTACATAGCAGAACTAACTGGTCAGTGCCAGGCCCGAATGCCCACACATTTTAATCACCCCAGCACTCCCACGTTTGAGGCCAGCCAGGGTTACATGCGCCACCCTGTCAAAGGAAAGAAGAGCGGCAGGAATAGAACAAAATATTTAGCTGATGGTTCAATTCAGTGTGTAGGATTAGAGGTAGATGTGGCGGCACACATTTGTCAATCCTAGCTCTTAGGAGAAGATGCAGCAAGACTGCTTCCAACTGTGTCTTGTGGTAAACTAGACACCAAGCTGGGACTCAATAGCAAAACTTTGCAAAAAAAAAAAAATACTAATAAATAAGAAAAAGAAAGTCCTGGTACGGTAGCAGATGCCTTTGATTCCCGGCACGCTGGAGACAGACAGGCGGATCTCTGTGAGTCTGAGGCCACCCAGGGTTACATAGTAGACCTTATCTTTAAAAATTCTGAGAATGCCAGGCATGGTGATACAATATGAGCTCTTGGGAGGAAGGCTCTATGAGTTCTAATTTACCCCGGTCTACATAGGCAGTTTTGGGCCAGCCAGAGCTATACACAAAGCCCCTATCTCAAAAATAAACAAGGTATAGGATTAGGTAATTAACTGATTTACACTAGTTATTTTTAAACTGTAGTAGTTTTGTCTAGGAACAGGAGTCTCACTCACTATGTATGTTGCACAGGTTGGCTTTTAAAATCTATGTCCAAGAAATTCTGCTGTAGTTTCCCAAGTAGCTGGGGATACAGGCACATATCACTGTTCTGGACCTAGCTAGAACTTTGTCCCTCTAGGCTACTTAAATGGCATGCATGCATCTGCATATCCGTATCAATACACACACACCCTCCCATATATTCTCAACCCCCGTCATTTTTTTTCACTTTTGATTGTTTTTCACATACAAGACCCTACCTTTCTTACTTTCTTTTTTAACTTTTTCCTTTTTTTGCACACAGGGTCTTGATACCCAGCCCTGGCTAGCTTGAAGTCACTCTGCAGCCTATAAGGTCTCAAACTTGTGGCAATCTTCCTGTCTCAGACTCTCAAGTGCTGAGATTACAGATATGGCCATCACACCCTTTTTTTTTTTTTTCCTTTGTTGAGATGGGGTATCACATAGCCAAAGCTAGTCT